TATACCCACTCTAGACCTGCACACAGCTGCGGTTGTTCCGTGGGATGCGATGGTTGCCAGCTCTCTGCAGCTGGCCTTCGAAGAACTGGAAGCAGGTGGGCTCCTGCATTGCGAGCCTGGAGTCAAGCTCAGTAGAGACCTGTTTGAATTATTAGGCACTTCTTTCGAAGTAGATGATTTCCCGCCTTTTGAAGCTGTTCTCCATCGTTTTGCTGACTGGCTGCTGCACTCCGCTTCTAACATGGATATTTTCTTGGGACGAGATTTTTATACCAATGACACTTTAAGGTCATTGAGTGCTTTTGCCACGGGTTTCACGGACGTTTGTTTCTGGCAGATCTCTCGAGCCTACATGGTTCACACAGCGAAGAAGCCGAAGGCTCAACACCAAGTGCCCAACGCGGCGCTCAACTATTTGTATGATCAGCTGGTTCCCTTGCTCGGGCTCCCCCGGGACGATGCCCAATGGGCCCTCACTCAGCGCCATTTCAATAATAAGGGCAATTCACTCGAGGTTCTGTTGTTCATATATGCTGAGGAAGGGTCACATGGGGATTTCTGGCAGTTGCTCTGGGTTTTGTTTATGTACCAATACAAGGATTCACGGTTCCCTTGGATTGTTCAAGTCGTCTGACTAGTTACTTTGTCAGCTGCGAGTGAACTAATGACTTTTTCCCCGAAACTTTTGATCCTGGGATACGACGAATACTACGAACTGCTGCAGGAACAATCTACTAAGGAAATTGCGCCTACTAAGGAAAGCGCACCAACTGGCCAAAGGCCATCCTCCCCTCCTATAAAGGAGTGCTCCCAATGGTTGTCCGTTGTTGATTACGGTCAGCATCAAGTGCCCAGCTGGCAGGTCGATCCCAGCAAGTTTTTTGAAGCGTTCATACGGCAACTCCCACAGAGTTGTTTTGATGTTCCCACCAAATGCTGGGATGGCCGGCTCGTGACCACGATTTTTTGCAATTGCTTGGTACAAAAATGGGCCGTGGACAGAATTGTTCGCAACAGACAGGCCCATCTCATCAATGGCAACCACGTTTGCCACCACTGCGGCCTCTTCTTGGGTACATGGTATTACTATAATTTACCAAAGAAATTTAAGTCTAAGTCTGTCAGCCTCCCGAACGGAATGTTGGTTCACCATTTTCGGCTCTGTAAGCATCATTTATCAATATGGTATTATCGGAGGGGGAACAGAGTATACACAAGTTTTACAGGACTTGCCAAAACGAATCTCATAAAGCAGCTCGAAGCAGCGGGGGCCGCCAGCGGCTTGCCGGGAGACCACGGCTTTTCACCCCACAAGCTATTCTTCCAATACCAGCGACATACTCTCCCACCGGTCGTTCAAGCAAGTGGTCACGAACCCCGCAGTGCGTCGGGGGGGCAGAGGACACCAAAATTTAAGATCAGCGCAAGCAGTTCGCTGCAGACTCAGCTCCTACCAGGAAAGCAGGCGTAGAAGCCGGCGGGACTACCGCCATTGGCGCTCGGCTCTCGGCAACATTGCGAACCTCACCCTAGCGCAATATTGCCCCCCCCCGAAAAGGGTGCAAGTTAAGACCCAGATATATCTAAATTAAAGGCCTTATAGATTTGACTTCAACTTAATGATTTAACTTGAAAAAGAAGATTTCCGATATTCCGGAACGTTCGATGCAGCAAGTATGCCTTTCGTAGATTTGTAAAGATTATTTGACGCAACCAAGATGAGCCAGAATGGCATCTACGGTCTAGTTCTGCGAAGACAGAATTTTTATAATTTATTTGTATTCTTTTGCGAACCTTTTGTATTTTAGCGATCGTAAGCTTCGATACGAAGAAAATTTGTGTCTGTTTTGTGTTTAGTAGGGTTCTAGGTCCCCCTAGGCGTGTCTACGCTATACGTGTGTAGCACCTGTTCTTGTACATAAATTAGTTTGCAGCTCTTTAGTCCGCTTTCGACTTAATTCATTTGGCTCAAATTTGGCTCAAGACTTAGCAGCCCAATATCTGCATCCGCAGCCATTGAAAAGGGTGTGCATCGCTGCCGCTCGCACACCGAACGCACTCGTATGACTTCACTTGGTGTTTCGATCAGGTCCAGTTATCCAACTGCCATTTCTGGGGGAACTTACCCCTCCCCCCCCTCCACTCCCCTCCCCGTCCCCTCCCCTCGTCGCCAGCACTACTAAATTCTGGACATAAGGTGAAGTCATGCGCTTAACAGTCACAGCAGTGCGACGCTGGCCATGAGGTTGCGCAATACAGCACGAACCCTGCGCAATGAGGTCGCGCAATGCAGTTTCGATGCCGCGCGTGCGCACCCGGCAGCCTGACACAGCGCGTACTGCGTTCCCAGACCATATTGCTCGACACCAACGAGCATCGATGCAACATAGCCTCTCTGCAAAGAACCCCTCGCGTCGCGGAACACCATTCGACTCAGCCTTATACCCTAGCGTGGCGAAATCTTACCGCATCGTGGAGCACGCCCACCATAGCGTGACGTCCATCCCTGGCAATACCGGCCGCACCCCTCCAGCACTATCCTTACAAGGGGGTTGGTCATTGAGTCACTGCGGCTTCGACGCAATGCGTGCAGGCCTGTAATGCTGACACAGTGCGTGCAGCTGTGGGACCATAGCTGGTACACATGCGAGCGTTTACGCATTGCGATTTTTACGCGCGCCTGTTTTCACACACCTAGACACAAACGAACGTCGACGCAACGCAGCCTCTCTGCAGAGCCGTGTGGCGCAATCTGATCGCAACGGTGTTCCTCTTGAGCCTTCTTATGCCTTCTTGTGCTCTCTGGCTTTGTTGGTTTCATCCTTGATTGACCAAGGGGCACGTTTCTGAAACACCGGAGACAGTCCCTCACCAGAAAAGGCCCCGACAGCTACTCGATCCGTCTCTGCCTTTCGTGTTTCCCCGCTCAAATTTATAATATTAAATATAGAATAATGTATATATAATTTATTAAATTTCTAAAAAATTATACTATTGAAATTTTATATATATATATACATAAAATTCATTAAATTGTTAATTTATTTAGTTTAATTTGAAGGAAATGAATATACATTATATTTTAATTGGTAATATATATTATTATGAATAATATATTATAGTATAGATTATAAATATTAATTAATAGAAGTAATTGTATAATTTAGAATATTTTTAGTTAATATATTCTATAATAAAATATATTTTAATAATATCGTCATTTAAAATATATATAATTTGTGATATTTTAAAATAATATAAAAAATATTGAATTTAGATATAAATTCATTTAATATAATTATTATTTTCTTTTTTATCGTATAATATAATTAATATTAATATATAATTAATAGAATATATATATATAATATCTATATAAAAAATATGCTGATTTAAAAAATCCAAAACAAATATATATATATATATGAATAAATATTATATATTACCTCGTCTATATTATATGTCCTATCTATTGTATATAGATTATTTATGTATTTTTTATAATATGTTTTCTCATTCAATTCTTTATATTATATTAACCTTGTTCACATCATAAATTATATTATATAATTCAAACCACCAAAATCATATCATTTAACTCATACAACTCATCCCATAACACCAATCAACTCAAACCACCCAACTCACATACCTCACCTCGCACTTGAGAGGAGGGAGACACGAAAGGTAAGACAGCGGGAAGAGAAGAGAACACGAGAGGCAAGAACAAAAATGCAATGTTCGACACATAATGATTTATCCCCTCGGAGGCGACCTTTCGTAAATATATGTTCATATGCATTCTAAATATTCATATGTCCTCGAAATGTTTAAAAAAATTCTTAGGAAATTAAATTTGCCCCATCGTTCAGATCATCGATGAATATTAAATCGGAACATCATAGGATTTAAATTATCTTAAAAATATAAAAGGTTCACGAAGACTCACGAAGACGCTCCCCAGGAGAAAATTAACGTGCTTCACAAAACAAACTCTAAATATGTATTTTTTCGGGCAACACCTTTCGTAATTAGAATTCATTCTTTCTAAATATTCAGGAGGGTTTCAATTCGAAGACGTTCTCCAGGAGAGAATTAAGTTTTAAAGGGAGGAGGATCTGTATTTAAAATCAATTCCAAGAGGGCGGGGTAGGGGGGGGGGTTGTATTGAAAAATCAATTCGAGGGAGGGAGAAGATCTAAATTAAGCAATCAATTATTAGACCCGGAAATCCCAATATTTGCTTCACAAAACAAACTCAAAGTACCCCCTAAAGGATTACCTTTCATTCAAATTCATTTCACAACATCATAATTCAATTCACGCCACCCAAGTAACACCACTAAATTCACATATCTCAATTCAAACAGCCTCATTCAAATCAAAATCACAAAAAAAAAATACCACAACAACACGTAAAAAAAATACAATATACGAAAATAAAACGAACATAATAATTAAATAACAAACAAAGAAAAAAACACTTATATTTCTATAATTCTCTAAAAATATCCGCCGACCCCGGCCTATAGCCAAAGCCTAGGCGGGAAAACGCCTAAAACACCGCAAAATTAAATATTTAAACCAATAAAATACAAATTAGAATTAATATTGTAATTTCGAACAAAATATTATATAAATATATTAAATATATTCTTTTATATAATTATTAATATCAAATAAAAATATTTCATTAATAGATATATTATTTTTTTTAATCTAAAATTTTATAATATATATATATATTGTGTGGTTTATCGAATATATTTATAATTCTATTTATATATGCAATATCATATTTTTTATTTCTATTTTTATATATTATATCAATCGATATTATAATTAATATATTTATATTTATATCATAAATTAGTTTCGAAATATTTATTCATTCGTGATATAATTTAAATATTCATTCAAGTAGATAATGCAAAAAAATATATATATATAAATTAATATGTTTAGTGATATTATGTATCATTGTTTGATTATTTTTCTGAATGAATTGTCAATTATTTCTGATCGAATCTTTCTTCATAATGCGAAGATCTTCCAATAACCACGCAGGTTGAATCCCGTTCTGGTCCAAAAGTTCCACAAGCTCGACAGCCTCCTCCTCTGACCACTCACGGCGGAGCATCTCTCGGCTGATGCATCGAATAGCTTTCAGCGATGCATGATTTAAGGCACGACCAGTATTAGAGAGCGAGCTGTTTCTCATCACTTCTCCAAGATTGAATTGTGCCTTGAAGAGCTCAGGGGCAGTTAGTCCTGCCTGCCGTAACTCTGAATCTGGGAGGGTGCCACTGCGCTTGGCCACTAAGGCCCACAGTTTTACCAACCCTCCAGTCAGCACTTGAATGTGAGAGGTCAACATGGGATCAGCTTCGTCTAGGACAGGCTGCAATAGTCGCAAATGTTCAGCAAAAGATTCTAGCAAAGGCACCAAGGAATTCATTGGCAAAAGTCTTTGTTTGCCAGCGTCTGCCCTTCTGGCATCCACCTGGAGACACAATGCTCAAGGTTCTTTGGTTTGTGAGCTTTATTCGGATCATTGGGTTTGATGGGGGCTGGATGATGTCACACAAGCCTTCCGAGCGTGCAAACGGAAGGACCGGACAGGGGGAACAGTTTGGTGGATTCAACGCGCTTCCTGTTTCAAGGGTGTGGAAGGATCCGAACTCAGCCCAAAACTACTTGGACAAGCCATGGCAAGCCTACTACCATTGAAAAGGGAGAGCGGGAGGTATAGTACTCATGCTGTCTTCCTCTCCCTCCTCCTTCTGCTTCATGGTTGTTCTCGAAACAACCTACGAATGTAGCACATCGATGCTTCACAGTTGTGGCATTGATCATTGGTCCCAAAAAATGATACGAGTATGATATACAGAATATGTACATATATATGTGTGTGTGTGATATATATTTTTATATATAAATGTGTGTGTGATATATATATATATGTGTGTGTGTGATATATATATATATATATGTGTGTGTGTGTGTGTGTGTGCGTGCCCTCCACGAGTCTGTGAGGTTGGTTGTGAATCTTGCTGCCTACCAGGTTCCCATCTGTTACACGTTGCTCTGAATGACTCTCTCTGCAACCCTTCAACAAAGGCATGCAACAGTGGCCTCTGAGAAAGCACCCACAATTGCTCTGCGCCAAAGCCACGGAAACGCATGACTACCCCTGCCAAGGAGGAAACGAGCGACGGCATGATTTGTAACCTGTCCAATCATCCTTTTGAAACTTTAAGTCACTTTCCAGACAAGTTCAAAGGTTCCCCCCAGCATGTCAACCCCAGGGCCTCGCAAGGAAAATGATGAGCAGCTTCGAAAGCTGAATGCTGGGCCGACCACTGGGGCCAGCACTGTGCGCCATGTGTGGCAGCAAATGGCCGGCCTCTGGTGCAACCGACGGTGCCGCATACAAACATGTACAGTGGAGGAGGCCCCAAAGCCAGCAAGCCTCCTGAAGGCCAACTTGCCCCAAGTGGAGCTGAGCTTCCAGAAATCTCGCCACAACCTGTGGCGAGAGTGGCACTGGCCTTACAGTCAGCATGTGCCGAGAGATAGTCCAAAGTACGTAATAACCAGTTGCTTGGTTTGAGCATGTTTGAGGATATCCACCGAGGCACGGGGAAAGAGGCTCCTCACGGCTAGCTCGGATGCAACGCAACACCAAAAGTTGTGAGAAACATTGCAGCCATGGTTTCTTATGTGTGTGTTTGCACCCGCTGGTGCAGCATGCAAGCAGAAGTGTGCTCAAGCACAAGTGTGTGTGTGTGTGTGTGCGAGCGCGCATGTGCAAGCTGCTATAGCAAGCAGTCATTCTTTCAAAACAGTTGACTAACGGTTGCAAATGCATGCAGCTGTGAGTGAGTTCAACCATAGCACAAGTTTCGTGCTGACATCTGGCCTGATCACCGCCCAGACTCAAAGAATGGCACGAGGCTAAGCCAAGAACCTAATCATGTCACAAACATGCTCATGTATGTTCAGCAAGTACGTCATCCTGATGACTAGGCTGCACTCTTAGGAGGCAAGGTTCTCGATGTCGTCCACGTTTCAAGTAATTTATAATATCTTCCATTCACGGCTTGTGCGGGTGTGCGCATGTGGTATATAGGTGTCGCATGCTTTGGTGGCAGCCGTCGTCGAACCTTGTGGCAGCAGCTGAAGCAACCCCACAGCCGCAGCAGCAGAAGGATCAGGAGCAAAAGCAGGAGCAGCAGCAGTGGTTGTAGCGGCTACTGGTATTGGATTGTTGCCGCGCGTGGTGGTTGCACCGCTGCTGGCAGTAGTAGCGATGGTATTTGTAGTGGTGGTGGTTGCGGTGGCGGTTGTGTGGGTGCGCACCTCGTGGCCTAGTGATAGCACCCACCAAGTGTGGATGCAGCTGTAACTCACACTTTAAGTCATGTATTATGCTCCAATTCGTTTGACCGACGTCGTCAAGCAGTTGAATCACAGAAAAGGATCTGAAAATGTGAAAAAAGATGAAACAAACCAACAACAGCTCGGACGAGCAGTTTCATCAAAGAATTGCGGGAAGTCAATGTTCTTCCAAGCTTATATAGCATTCTCCTGTGTTTGGAGGCTTTGCCAAATATCCTCTGCACATGGCACGCGCAAAAGCTGGTTCTCAGCAAGTGGTAGCCTGTGAAGAAGCTTGCCAACAATCGAAGGAAAGTGACAGCGACAGCCACTGCAAGTGAGAAACACTTCAAAATCTTCATAGCATGGGATCGGCGAGGAGCTATCTGCAATGCGAACCCGAATCCTGAGCCACACAGCGGAGTCCTACAAATGATGCTAGAATTTTTGCATCTACAGGCATATGCTGCGCTGACAGCAGGAAAAATCAAAGATTGCGGCCAAGCAACTTGCCTTGGCTCAAGCGCATCTCTCTCGGTTTCTCTTGAGGGAACTTTGGCAACTCAAGTCTTCCAAGCAAGGCACTGAAAAGAGATGGTGAATAAAGACGAAGAGACGCATACGCAACTGCCACATGAGCGAGTTCCATCCAGGACAAAGCTTGGATGGCTTCTGGCCTCAACAAGGGGCTGTGGTGGATGTGTTGGGGCCACCCAGCGACACACCGCAATTCCTCGTCACTACAATTGCCTGCAAAGGCCCAACGTGGTTGCGTTGAAGAGCCCGACATCACGCACCTGAGGGTTTGCTCAGTCAACTCTCCTCTCCTGCCCACAACAAGGAGAGGCACTTGATTGACCGAAACAAGCCAAAGCACTCGAAGGGCAGAGAAAGCTACAGCCACCTTTGCTGTTTCTTGAGGAGACAGCGGCTCACGCACAATGCGTCTCATGAATAGCTTGGACAATGATCTCATCATGGTCTGGTCTGCCACCGCTAAAGCTTCGAAAGAAGACCTGGCAAACGAGCAAGGCTCTGCCATCACATCAGCTCGATGTCCGTACAGTTGTTTGAGCCGAGCTCAGGGCAAGAGGCTGACGGCAGCTTCATTGCTGAAGCGTCCGCTATCTGAAGAAACTGTCAGCGCAATGGTTCGGGATATGGCATCCAGCAAGTCCTTGTTTCTTCAACTTACTGTTGCACAATGTGAAGTGTCTTGAGCACATGCAGCCGGCTGTGGCAATGACTTACCGGTCCTCATGTAGGAACCCCATCCTTGCGAATGCATCCAAGATTTGCGCAATCTGCACAGCCGTGAAGGAACCAATCTCTTCTGCTGTATGGTGAGCGAAAAGTTGAAGGCCTGCAAGGTGTCCACACACGAATCTGACACTCTTGTCATTCGGCAGTTGAAGGAAAGTCGCTGAGGCGCCTTCTGTTGCTTTCGGATCTTGTTTCCACGGCAATTTTGCATCAGCCAATGCCATTAGCACCTGGAAGGGGCCATTGAGAAGGTAACTCAAGAGCTGCACTCCGCGAGTTGGAGTACAAAGTAGCCACCACGCCTCGCAGGTCTCCTGACCAAGGTACACAAAAAAGCTCCAAAACCGACGGATCTACAAGTGCAATCGGGCTTGCTGCCTCTGGCCGCAAGAAGTTTGCCAACTGCCCACCCCTATATGCGGCCTCGCGATGAGCACCGAGCACAAGAATTCCAGCAATGCTGGATGTCATGCCCTGCCTTCTTCCAAAACGAATCGGGCGTTTTTCCACGGCTGACAAATCCAGGTTGCAATGCTTTCCGCAGGGTTCTGACTAAGGCAGAGCAACCTGGCGCCATTGGATTCACGAGCTGAAAAAGACTCATCCGGCACTATAGCTACAATAGCTTTCGTGCACAATGACCTCACCCAGCAAGCCTGCTTGCGAATAAAAAGCACATGTCAGCGATGTGTACAAAAGCCACCAGCACGGCCTTGGACATCAAGTGGATCTCCAGCTCGACCTCGGAGTCGCTGGATTTCCTGGCGCGAACAAATCCCCATCCCGATCAATTCCGTTCTGTAAGGCTGCAGTGTCTAATCTTGTCAGAACCTTGATCACTGGGTGTGAAAACGTCTGGGTCCTGCCAGCCTTTTTGTGGGCTTGGGCTCGGCACTGGTGCAGTGCTATTCACCGGAAGCCAGCGAGGAGCCAAGGATGAGAAAGCCCGCACACCTGCAAGGAGAGTTGAAAGGACAATTGGAGCCAAGCTTGTTTACATGCCCTACAGCCTTGCAAGAATCGAAGCCAATGACATCGTGCCCTGCCGCACGGGATCTTTCTCATTTGGCCGAAGTCGGGCCATTGCTTTGGCAGTGCTGCGCCGCTCCGGTCCGGCCCCCTTTGGATCGGACACAGCTTCCGATGGTTTAACACACGTCAACGTTGAGTCCACTGAGTACTGCGGACTGGGGTAGGCCAGCCGTGCTTTGCAGGTGGTATTGGTCATGCTGAACTTGGAAGGTTTGCGGCTGCAGTCATCCACATCAAGACAGGGGTTTCATGCCATAGGCTATGACACTCTGCCACGTTGACAGCAATCACATGTCCAGTGACAGCATTGCAGGCAAAAGTCTGAGGATTGATTTTTCGACACTCAGATGCCTAGAAATGCCTTAACGGCAGTTTGTAGCAAGAGCACTTTGTTCTGCCCTGCATCCTCAGGTAGTGGGGAGCAGAAAGGCATTCATTCTCCGGTAGAAAGTCAGCACTCTGGGTCAACAAAGTCGGGCACAACTTGAGGCAGCTGCTTTTATGGATCATCCCCTTCCTGCTGCTCCTGGGAATCTGTGTCGACTTCTTCTTCATCCTTCATCGCATCAATCATGACTCATCATATGATCCGGAAACTGAAGCTGCCGCATGCAGGAGGGCAGGAAGTTGTGAGAACCCAAGCAAAATTGACAAAAATCTCATTATGGGACCCTGTCCTCGAAGTCCAGGTCCTCTTCTTCCTGACTAGCTTTTTCTGCCGCTTCAGCCGCCCGTTGAGCTTCCCGCTCACGAATTCGGGCGTCACCTTGTTTAAGTGAAAATAGGATCATCCACAAACTCAGTGTCCTACATTTCCTGGAAACGGAAAGGGCACAGATCTTGGCCGTGAACGCTCTGCGCGTTCCTTCTTCAGTTCCTCTCGTCTCTTTTCTTCTGCCTCGTGTCACCAAATGGAGGTCCCTACCGAGGCCCTGACTCCTCCCTTGTTACTATCACTAGTAGCGATGCCCTTGTGTAGCGATCCTTGTTACTGTTACTGTTTGGTTCAGTCCATTTCGTCCTCCTTCTTCTTCTGCTGCTCCTCCAGTGCTTCGGGTGTTGCAGCATACCCGACAATGACGGACTCCTGTGTGCAAATCTCCATGGTGTCAGTGCTCGAAGCGTTTCCCCTCGCCACCCACGACACCCAAAAGCCTCTCTAAGCACCCCGGTGCCAATAGTCATGCGTGCATATCCATCTTCTCCCCATTCTTTGCCCCATGAGTTCTTCACCTTGGCGAGCACACTCTGCAACTAGTATGCCCGGAAGTGGAAGTGATTGCCGAGTAGCGATGGCCTCCAACCTACTAGCGGTGGCCTCCAACCAAATAGTGATGGACTCCAACTTAGCATTTACAGTAAATCATTCAAGGAACCAGTTTGAACGACCTAGCATCCAGCTGACTCTGGATCGATTAAGTTGGCAAGCTGGGCGCCCGACAAGCCAGTATGGCGTTCCCTCGGATCTTCCCCAGCCCATGATGGTCACCGCATGAATAATTGGTTCTCCATTCGCACCATACTGCTGGTTGGCATTGTCGGTCGGTGTGTACACCCCGCTTTTATATACCAAGAAGTCGTCCTTCAGCAGAACTGGTGCCACGACAGGACCTCATGACATGCACCCATGCAAGCATCAAAACATGGACATATACAAACAACGCTCACAAGCCGCACCTCGGTTAAAAATCTCTCGCCTGAGCTGGCCATCGAGTCGTCCAAAGCACAAAAGTCAGAAAGCAATTTCAACAGGATTTGTCAGAAGCATGGTAAGTTTGTGTCAAAGCAATGTTGGAGCGCCTGTGTAGTGTTCTGCCTTTGCTGCACAAATTTACGGTCTTCAGTACTTGGCAGGTTTGATTCGCAGATTCTGCAGAGACGAGCTGATGAACCATCTCCGCAGCATGCTTACATACAACTGAATCCGACTATTTATTGATTGCGTACTTCGTTCCAGAACATACATACATACATACATACATACATACATACATACATACATACATA